TGATGTGGTCTGATGCTGACCACGCTGGATGCGTGAAGACGAGGAAGAGCGTGTCAGGAGGCGTCTTGATGGCCGGTGGTTGTTGTATCAAGATTTATTCTAAAGGACAAGGAGTTGTTAGTCTTTCGTCTGGAGAGAGTGAGTATTACGCTCTTGTGAGCGGTGCCAGCAATTTGCTGGGAGAAGTTTCAACCGCCAAAGACTGGGGTTTGCAACCTGAGAGTGAAATTTTCATGGATGCAAGTGCAGGAATAGCAATGGGTTCACGTAGAGGATTAGGCAAGGCCAAGCACGTGGATACTCAATACCACTGGGTACAAGACCGCGTTGCCAAGCGCTACTTTCGGCTGAAGAAGGTCGACACTGGCGATATGCTTGCCGATGTCTTGACGAAACCCGTCATAGAGGAGAAGATGAACAAGGCACTGCGGAATATGAACTTTCACTTTCTGGAAGGTGAACATCACCTGACACTGAAGGCATAGATGGCTTGAGTCGTGGCTATGCTCCGCTGTACATATCAAAACTCGCCTAGTTCAAAACACTTGGACTCACCGTGCCTCCGAACAGGCTCGGGAGGCGTGATCAGATATGTGTACAGTATAGACCATGTTACATGTAGTACATATGTTTGTATATGTGCTGCAGCCATTTTAGTGCTTTTAGCCACCTTCGAGCTAACTGAGTGAAAAGGTGCTGACCAGTGCTCAGGAGTGTTCATCAGATTTAAGAGCCCAAATTCTCTGTTCACATTGCAAAAAAAAAATCTATAAGGAGCTATAGCTATTAAATGGGAAGCCACTTGGAGCTAGACATTGAGTTTCCCAACCACACCTTATCGATAACCAAGAGAAATGGAATTCAAGCTGCAAAAAACGATGGAAGATGGCGAAACGCCATGGGATATTTGATCGGGGGGGAATTGTTGGAACAACCAATGGTTGTAGTATACCCGCTGGTAAACTAACATAGCTATTGAAAATGGCCATAGAAATAGTGGATTTTCCCATTAAAAATTGTGATTTTCCATAGTTATGTTAGCTGAAAACATTTTTAGTGAACCAACAACAGCCACACATATTTACCAACCCCCCCTGGCGAATGTGAGTTCCCTGGCGAATGAGGTGATCCTGGAGAAGAAAAATCCGCAGATCAAGTGGAGAGATTTAGAAAGGCGCGCGGATCGAATCCTTGGAGGTTGATTTTTCAAGCTGTTCTCAAAGGAGTACTGAAATTGAAATATTTATATACCATAGTATATTTACCATTCCAATTATTTATATATATATTTTTTTTTTCGGACATACTATAGAATTTCTGTTGGGTTCATTGAGCTATATATTGAGTCGCTGTGAATATGTTGAGGCCATTTGTTGTGTCAAAATCCGAGATCTCGTTGAGGAAATGACATGGGCGGACATGGGTCATGGAAATCTAAGAAATGTGGATAAAGCTGATATTAGATGGATAATAGTTTGATATAGTTAGATACTACTGGGACATTGATGGGATAACAGTGATGTGATAATGAGATATTAGTGGATTTACCCTCTGGTAATTTAATAGTTTCTTTTGGAAAACTACCATCTTTAGTCTTTAAATCTTCGAACTCAAATATGCCATGGCTTCCATGGCTACCGGAGGGTATATTCTTTTTGGTGAATGGCTAAATCGAAGAGGAACTAAATATTTAAATCCACTGCTTTGGTATGTCAAGATACCGACTTATCAGAACATCGGTATGCACCGACACCGACCATGGTTCCCATGGTTCGTGGTCGAGACTCACCCGCGGATTCGGGTTTTGCCAGCCAGATTTCCAGGGTTGTTTTTCTGTACTTCTCCGATGGCTATAGCGGCTATATGGTAAGAACGATGTTTCAAATATACGTTTGGTGGTGCCCCCAAACGTCGTGTTAGTTGGCTTATTATAACCTCCATCAACTGATTCCATATTTGCATTATAAACCCCAATGAAATTGAAATGATGTTCCCAACCGAACTGGGGCACCACCTTGTTTCATCTTGTTCTATGGCTTGATATCAATGATGACCAGCCGTTTCTGAGCCAATGGTATCTCATATATTTGACCCATATCCAAATGGCTATTGGAAGGCCAGTGGGAACAGATACCGATGTGTTGGTTGGTTGATCTCGAAATGTTGGCAGATGCCACAATTGGCTCTTCCTGGACGGGCGGGGTATCTATGTCATAACTTGCCAAAATAGCAGGGTAACCAACCTGCTCCATACAACGGTAAATTTGGGTAAACCCGGTTTGGTTGGCCCAAGTCGACTGTTTTATGTTAGGCATATCATGTCCCACTAAAAATCACCACTTAGAACTTAGAATAAGGTGGCTAATAATTCATGGACACCCATAGGCTCCGAATTTGTGACTTCTTTTTCTGGGTTGCACAGCAGCACAGCATGCCCCTAATTGGGATGATGCAAAATGACGCTTGGCCGTCATGGTTGGTTATTGGATGTTCTTGGGATGGTTTATATATTATTTGGTTATCGCTTGAATAGGTAGTCCGTGCTATCATAGATCCTTCACACATTTGCAATTTGCATTTTCTCGCATAGGGTTCCCTTGGATGCTCCCAGTGACCAGCCTAGAAGAATCTCAGAAACTGAAAGACAAAGACAGTTGATGGTTGGCAACCTCGAGAAATAGGTTGATCATGGGATATGTCATGGGTAAAATCCGAGTAAAGCAGGTAATCCAGGTTGATGTTGAAATTACAAACGCACTAATCCATCAATAGTTCTTAGGGGATGATTGCCTCATTAAAACAATTGGTTCATATTGGATGCCGAACAACCAGGTAAAGCCAGGACCACCTGTTTGGCGACGGTCAGGAAAGAACAGATTTTAGAGACACCTCCCGATCAGTCCAAGCACTCAGCGGAGACGGGCTGATTTGATGGTGATGTTTTGCCGGACATCGAGATGTTTGGGGTATAATGGGAATCACCATCAAAATATTTGCTGTTGATATTTGATAAACATCTGTTTGGCTCACTTACATATCTGCTTATAATTAATTGGAATCAAATCCACCAAGATGCAGATATTTAAGTGAGACCTTCACCGGGATACCCAAGCCTGGCATTAAAATGATGATCAACCACTGGAGGGACATGGGTAATATATGTTCAAACATGTTCAAACCCATTTCTTAAAGGTTGTTCACGTGGGCATGTCACCAATAAGAATTCTGGTTGCTGGTTTAGAGTTGGATAGGAAACAAATCTTTTGCCAACAAAGAATGAACATTGAATCAAAATAATTTTGCTCCAATTTGATGCACATGATGATGCAAGCTACACCACGCCCGAACTTGCCCAGATGGCGGTGGAGAGCAATCAAATCAGAAGATTCTAGGTGACTTTGAAGTTGTTAACTGGCTTGGTCCGCGGGCAGGAAAATGGAGACCATGACTTGTCAAACGGAGGGTGTTAGTGAAAGAGGGATACACAGACACAGACAGAGTCGCACATTTGCCATAACAGACCTGCCCTGAACTAAATCATGTGACATGAGACAGGCACAACATTTGTATAGCCATTTGAACCCTAAGCCTAGGTGACACCCGGCACTTGTGTCTACTGTATGGCTAGGTGACAAGCAGAAAACTGACCCTGTGGAGCAAGCAGATCACGCTGCATCATGGTGACATTTTTTTTCGCTGGTGGTCTCTCCCATTTGGCCAGACCTGACCTATTTTTTGTGCCTTGTCGAGCGGTTGAGGCCTGAATATCCTACTTCAAACAAGTCCAAGAGAAACTGGAGTCAGATTGACCGGGAGATCGAGGACTTGGAACTTGGTCCTTCCCCCGGGATGGGATGTGGATGAAGGAAATGTTTCACAATTTGCAAAGCATAGCTTCAAAGTGTTCAATATACAGTAATTCGTTTGAATATGTTTAGCCCGTTAGATCCATTTAGCCACTTTGTCATGGGGGGATAGAATTTGATGGGCAAGATTTGTCATTGCTGGAGCCAAAGAAACGGCAACCTCACACCTTCAAGCGGTGCCTTTGGGCAAGCGGTGCTTAATAGTTGAGACATGGACAATTCCAAGAAGGGCAGGGGATACGGCCAAAGATCCGGATACAACTGCTACAGCTAACAAAAAATAAAGATAACCAAACTTAGACCTCAACATGTTCCAAAGTCGTTCATCTATTTATGTTTGGGAAAGCCAACCAATTGGTGCGTTTGAAGTTGAAGAATCATGAAGAAGCACCCCGCACCAGGCTTGCGAAAAGTCGAACTACAAATATGACCATGCCCTTAGCGGAAGATCGTCAAAACATTGCATTCCTTGTTTATCTTGTTTATCTTGTTTTTGTTGGGCCCCCTGATTATCAAACTGATTAATTATCAAACATGGCTGGAAATTTACCAAAAGTGGAGGTTCTGGCCATGAAAAACGTGTCACCGGGGTTGTTCTTTTCCCTTTGGACAGCTTGGAGCCAGTTAACAACAATGTGTTATTAACAACATTTAACAACTATGAATAACGATAAAATAAGCAACAGTAATTACAATATTTTTTAAAAGTTTATATTCATAATGATGATGCTATATTCATGAGCTCCACTTAAGTGTCAACCTGGGGCGATTTGCTCCTCATCCCATGTAGAGGAACACGTGCCTTCGGTCGAGGGTGAAATCACCGAGTTGCCATCAATCCTTTAAAACTTGAGCTGCTATAGGCGAATCCCACTGTTGCACTCTGTTTTTTTTGGTCGACCTCCCTGCCGTAAGTGTTAAAAAACCAATTGGCGTTAAGACCAATCAGGATGATTACCCTCTGGTAATTTAACATAACTATGGAAAATCACCATTTTTAATGGGAAAATCCACTATATATGGTCATTTTCAATAGCTACGTTAAATTACCAGAGGGTAACAATGGTTTAGTGTATTTTAGCATGTTAAACCAATCAGATGGCTTAATCCGATGGCTTTGAAACCTCGCGGCCGTTCACATCTCCCAACGAAAACTGGAGCACCGGCGCTCGGTGCTTCGAAAAAACGGGCGCCGAAGCGTGGCGTCCATGGCGCGGCAGTGCGCACAGCTCACGGCCATGCAGACCATGTATGACTGGGCGCAGTGACATGGCCGAAAGTTTTTGGACACTTCGATGACCTGTAAAACATGGTGGATGTTCAATCCCATTTGCTCCATGTATGGAATATTTACCAACATTTGCCCTAAAAATCACCCAAATGTAGGTAAATATGCCATACATGGAGCATATGGGAATGGCTATGTTTAATTATCATAGAGACCGGTCATAGATCATGGATCATTGACAAGTAGAAGAAAAATATCCATGTTTACTAACTAGCTATTGGTACTGTAGTAATATATTTATACCATTATTATTATTTTTTTAATGAATGAGGATGCATACCAACTAGTGGTTCTTGGCGGTATCCAAGACCCTGGCAATGATGGGGACAAACTTGGGTAAACCACTAAACCACTGGTTTGCTTCAAGGGAAATTTTACCGGAACCTCGCAGAAACCTCATAGTTAGGGCAGGCACCATGGTTTCCAGCTAGATGTTTCATCATCCCAGGGAGTTTACAGGTCGGGTAATCTGGCGTGCTGGAAAATACACCATTTAGTTCGTTGATTTTCCCAGCTAGAAGCCCATATATTTTCCAGCTAGAAGCCCATATATTTTCCAGCTAGATGGGCCTCAGTTTCTGTTTTCATCCCAGGTCTAAGCCACTTTTCCCAGATGGGCCCCCTGGTTTGTTAGTGAAGTATAGTTAGTGCATAAATGAACTATACATAATTTTCCGGGAGTGTATCATTACATATGTTTACTATTTTGCTGTCATGTGACCATCTTTATTCTTCCATAGTGATTCGTGATTGATTTTTCTGTTTGTTTTTTCTTCCCCATGTCATATCCCATTTTATAATTTTCTTTTGATAAATAGTGATATTTTATCCCATGTTTCCCATATGATGTTTCTAGATTTCATAATTCCCATATCATATTTGGTTGGTGGTTTGGAACATGAATTTTATTTTTTCATATATTGAGAATGTCATACTCCCATTTGACTTTCATATTTTTTAGAGGGGTTGGTAGACCACCAACCAGCCATAATTATTCAATGATTAACCATCATTAGCCACTATTAACCACTATTAACCATTACTAACCTTCCTATGGTTTTCCCATTAAAACCTCGATTAACCATTACTAACCGCCAGGAAGCCAGATCATATTTTATCCCATTTACCACTATTAAACCACTATTAAACCACTTCTTTGGGATGACATGGCTTTACAATTCCCATTGAACTCACTGTCAGATAGTGATGGATCCCATTCATAGTGTGATCATCCCCTGGCGGTGGGCAATGCTGTCCAGGCACATCGTGCAAGCCAGCGCACGCTGTTTCTCCTTCGAGGATGGCCGGGAAAACGGGAAATTCACTGGGCGGGGCAACGGGGCAACAAACAATCCATGGGCCGGGAAGAGTTTGTTGATTTACCCAACACGCTTGCTTTTCCATAGCTATGTTAGTGTTTACCAGAGGGTGTCCATGTTTATGTGTGTTTATCTAATGTTTACCTATGCATTCTGAATTTCTGCCAAAAAAACTGATCTATATACTATGTGTCGGATATCATACTCGTTCATGTTTTGTTGAGTTCTTATACAACATTCAGGGGGAAAAACAACATTCACGAGTGAATTATTGACTTGGTATTCCAAAAGTATGCTGGACAAGCCCCATGGACGTCATTGCCAAGGTCCAAGACCGGGTTTTGATGCTTTTGGTGTTAAGTTATTAGATGAACTTTCTACATGTCTAGCAAGAATCTTGAGCCTTGTATCCAGAGGCTCAGTAAATGACCAAGAAAATGCTATAAGATAAGGATACAAAAGCAACACGACTTGGGATGTCACCGATTTCGATCAGAGGGTGCATCTTGTTTTTTCCGGCCCCATTTCATTAGGATTCAGCCCCTGCGGTGGCCCCTCCAACAAGCACTAAGGGCACATCCTAACCATCTATGATTGGGGTTCAAATTTTGCAGCAAAGGGTGAGGTGAGCTACAAGGCTTTCAAGGTGGCAGCGAAAGCTGCGGGGAAAGGTTGTTCCACTTGTTTTCTTTGGAGACAGTGGTTCCATCACCTAGGGGGCTGTTTGAAACCCGATAATGTCAGCAACGTTGCATGTAACCCTGTAATTGCCAAGATTCCAGCACAGATCAAAGTCTGAAAATGGCGTGTCTACCCGAATCTATCACTATTTAAGGGAACATCGTGATTGTGGGTTTCATGATTATGATTAATTATCCAATTACTTTGAGGTTCATTCCACTTGGTAACTGGCTAGTCACCATAGTTTGTTCCCCCGTTTATGTAGGGAACATACCCTAACTAACCCCTTTAAGGGCTACCATTTTGATTGGACCAACTTGTATCCCCCATTATTCTTGGTGACATGTATCCCTTGGTCATTCTTCTGCATCATTGCTTGTCTGATCGAAGATTGTTCACTAAATTCTGAATCATTGGATTTCCCTTCGAGAATCAAACATAGCAATGGAAAATCCCCCTTTATATATAGTTACATAGATCCATTTGCTTATTTAACATGGCCATGGAAAGAACCACCATTTTTAAGAACGGTAAACCAACTATTTCTATGGGCCATTTCCCATGGCTATGTTAGTCGTAACCAGAGGTAGTAAGTTTCGCGAGCGAAAGGTTATCATAATTTTCTGATAGTGGGTACCTCTCATGCGTTTTGAGGTATGAATTTGCAAATATGGAATGATGTTTGCTTATTTTTTTGAGGTGATACTTCAGAACGCATATTGGGCAGTGAAAATTTTAGATGGAAGTGTTTTTGCTTCAGCCCGGCCTTTGGAATTGGTAGCCTTTGAGGCTCTGCTTTCATGAAGAAACCAACTGTGTATAGGCAACTTGTTCAAAACAGCGAATCAAAGGAATCAAAGACACTATGAGACATTGAAAGACACCAGTGCCATAAGGCCACCATCAAAGGTTTGACATTCATTTGCTGATGCCATCCATGGACCATAAACAAAATGATGATGATTGTTGCCAGTGTTGTTGCCAGAGTTTTATGATAATTGTTGGCAGTATTGTTGTCAGAATGTTTCTCCTTGTTATAGTTATTGTTGGAGTTTTGTGAGATTTTTCTTATTGTTGGAGTAGTTGTTGGTGTCGGTGTTATATTTTCTGATTATTGTCAGAATGTTCTGATAATTTCAAAGTTTCTGATAATTTCTGATAGTTGTGAAGTGTTGTCAGAATTTTCTGATTGTTGTCAGATTTTTTCTGATTGTTGTCAGAATTTTCTGATTGTTGTCAGAATTTTCTGATTGTTGTCAGAATTTTCTGATTTTGTTAAAGTTGTTGATCGACTATTAATGATTGTTGTCAGAATTTTCTGATTGTCAGAATTTTCTGATTGTTGTCAGAATTTTTCTGATTGTTGTCAGAATTTTCCGATTGTTGTCAGAATTTTCCGATTGTTGTCAGAATTTTCTGATTGTTGTCAGAATTTTTTGATTGTTAAAGTTCTTGATCGACTATTAATGATTGTTGTCAGAGTTTTTCTGATTGTTGTCAGAATTTTCTGATTGTTGTCAGAATTTTTCCGATTGTTGTCAGAATTTTCCGATTGTTGTCAGAATTTTCCGATTGTTGTCAGAATTTTCCGATTGTTGTCAGAATTTTCCGATTGTTGTCAGAATTTTCCGATTGTTGTCAGAATTTTCCGATTGTTGCCAGAATTTTCCGATTGTTGTCAGAATTTTCCGATTGTTGTCAGAATTTTCCGATTGTTGTCAGAATTTTCCGATTGTTGTCAGAATTTTCCGATTGTTGTCAGAATTTTCCGATTGTTGTCAGAATTTTCCGATTGTTGCCAGAATTTTCCGATTGTTGTCAGAATTTTCCGATTGTTGTCAGAATTTTCCGATTGTTGTCAGAATTTTCTGATTGTGTCAACATTTTCAAAAACGAACAAGTTGAGAAAATCCACAAACAGAAAATTCTGATTGTGACTGGTTTTTTTTTGCCTCAGAAGCGTTTTTTGCATTTTTTTTTGAAAAAATAAGCGTTTTTGTCCTTACTTTTGATGTTTTGAAAAAATAGGCTTTTTGAGATGTTCCCCTCAATATGCGTTTTTAAGGACTAAAAAAAAATCAAGAATGCAGAACGCTTCTGGAGGCCCCTGCATACAGAAGTTGGTAAAAAACACATATCACACCCAAACAAAGGACCCTCACGAAACTTACTAACCAGAGGGTAACCATTATTATTAACCATTATTAGCCATTATTAACCATGATTAACCATTATTAACCATTATTAACCACTAATCCCAACTGACTTTCGCATTTTTCAGAGGGGTTGGTTGAAACCACCAACCAGATAGATGATTTTCTCAGTCAGTCGCCTCCATAAAATGGAGACTTTCCATGTTTGGGATCCCAGGATCCGGACAAACACGTGATGTGGGAGACCTTAGTGCCAAAGTATTGTCCCTCGAGTCTCGGTTGATCAGCGGAAAAAACACAGATTTATGGTGGTTTAACATGGTTTAACTAAGACACAATGGTGATTTATAGTTGGTATAGCTAATTTTCTTTCGCTAAGTTGGCTTAGAACTAACTTAACTAGGGTTTTGTTGCACATGCCTATAGTATTCATGGGGTTTATACCCGACATGGGAGGCGGGAGGCAAGACCTTGTTGAGGGGCAGCAGTTCTGTAGCTATGGAAGGGAATGCTGTTGTGGGTGACTGTGGTCACCACCTTGAAGGGAAAACGGGCTTGTTTCTTGCGGAATGGGACGTTGCAATAGAAATTGGAGATTTGACGGCTCCTTAGATGAGCCATGGAGTTAGATAACTAGTTAGTTCATGATAGTGGGATGATAATGGGATACTAACGGGATAATAATGGGATGTCAGTTAACTAGTTAGTAAATTGATTATAATGTGTTTTTTGTTGTTTATAACCCAGTTCCTAACCAAGAATAGCGTTTTTCCATGGCCCATCTACGTTTTCATCACTGAAGTTCGGTAGAACTTCCAAGCCACGCCTTCTGCCAACTTGGGGGTGCATCCCACTTATAGTAAGTCAATTATACATGATTGTACCAGTTACATATGGAATATCCCCACATATCCTCAATTATATATATATATGATGAAATATGGGTTATATATGGATTAATCCCCACTTTTGAATGGGATTATATGGGTTATGGGATGAACTACGGGTTATATATATATGATATGTCACGGATCCGATTCGTGGGATGCCCGGCGCCAAGGACGGTTGAATCCCTCGAAACGCGCCGTGAAAACTTTGCCCTGGCGCTGGCTGGCCAGCTGTCCGTCTTCTTTTGCCGCACCTCGGAGCGGACGGAGCGGAGCGATCTGAGTGAGGCGGAGTTTTTTTCGCAAATTTGCATGGGATTTCACGTGCAATTGATATTATATATATTTATATATATATATACACATGCTAGTGTCTTTTTACATGTATATGCGCACATATATCTATATATATATATACGTATGTGTGTGTGTTATAACATACACATACACATATAGTTTCTTTCACAAATATCACGTTTAGTAAAAATGGGACGGAACTGGGTGGAACCAGAAAAAAGACAGGAAGGCCCCGGATTGAAGTTCATCAGAAACAATGGTCACAGGGACTGCATGGGGATGTATTTGCTGACGAGTTTTCAAACAAAAATTGACAAAAATCCAAAGGAAGAACGCTGGATTCAATTGCCACAAACAGTGGACATCTAGGTTTTCACACTTTGCCTAGTACTGGAAACTTAAATATAAGACTGCAGGTTTGGGTTTTGACGTGGAAACACATGTGATATGTTGTGTATGATAAGTGTATGCTTGGAACTTTGTGTGACATCACTTTTTTTAGATATTGGCTAGCTGGACAAAACCGTATGACCATCGCATGTTGAGATACATGCATGACATGAAATTTCTTGGATATTGGTTTGGGAATTGGATCATACCATCTACAGTATCATAGTTGTTTTAAGGGAGTGAAGATGATATTGAACAAGCGGTGCTGTTTATTGAATTACATATTACTGTAAATTGTATTTGCCACTCAAGGGAGTTCGTGGATAGTGAAGGTTGATGTTGAGCCAACCCCTTGAATTTTGTTCTGATCCCGGTTTAGGTTTAGCAAATGACATAACTCTTCCAGGAACCTGCTGTGTTTGGCTTGGATCCCCATGTTGATAGCTGGTGACGGACCATTTTTTCACTGCAGCAACTGACGGTTCCGCAGGGTGCTCGCTGCTCCGAAACAAATTATAAGGTTATAATACGGTCATAGCTGGTTATATAAACAAAACATAGAATAGCCGGGTAAACCTTTTTTGGCAGGTGAATATGTTATGTTGTTTGCCATAGAATGGTGGTATAGACTAATGTCAAGACCGGATCAATAACCAAGCCCCCCCGCACAAGGTCAACAAGGTCGAAAAGGCGGTTAAAAGAAACACCCCGAGTTAATAAATTTCACATTTTTGACATTGATCTGGGTAAATTATAACGACCTCACTGCGACCTCACTGGAATCATGGTTAGTAAGGGGAATCATCCCCAAATGGCCTTAATTCAGGTTAGTGAAATATGATAATTTACCCAGATTGATGAAAAGAGAAAGGAAAAGAGCAAAAAGAGACAACATATACATAGGGCTGAGGTGGCAAAATACATTGCGGGTGGGGGGCGGTCCATTTTCAATTTGGGGGGACACCACTCATACGGGATGTTTGAGAGCTTCCATATGCGAAAAATCAATTTAATAAACACTTGATCATGTCGGGGTCCGAGAGGGGATTTACAAATGGAGGGGGTTGCACAATGACGAGGGGAAACATATACAGTATCTAATTGACTGCAGTATTGCCCAAAAATCGGGGGAGCCAGGGGTATTTTACTAATGGAAGAGATCTTGTTAATCCTAACTTGACATTTCCCAGCACAAAACGCAAATCCTGGTACACAGAAATGTTAGTTTCCTGGAGAGAATCTATACTATATACTGTACCCTCTGGTAAACAAACATAGCTATTGATAATGGCCCATTTATAGTTGATTTACTTATTAAACATGGTAATTTGCCAGTTATGTTAGTTTACAAGAGGGTAGTAAAGATCAGCCATGACTTGCTGGTGACACCCCATATCGATCCATATTTGTCGACCTAGTCACATCCCACAAGTTATGTCATACTCTTTAGTGGTGTTTCGCGTCGCTATGGCAAATCAGTTTTTTTGTTATACATATAACTCATCATGTATCATCTATAAGTGGGCCATGTTCATCCATTTTCCCTCGCTATGTTGGATAACCAGGGTAAATTTCATGAATCATGAGCCACCATTAGCATTATGAGCATTATTAACCATGGTTTTTCCCCATGGTAACCAGAGGCCAATTCAAGGGATGTTGGAGTCCCAGAATTGGTGGAAGGATGTTGTTAGGGTAACTTTGGGACACGAAAATCCCAAGGTATTTGAGGATTGGAAATAACTTTGTGACATCATAGGTTCCTGTACCATTGTTTAACTTGGAAATGTTTAGTCATTCATGAAAATTGAGATGCTTGAAATCCGTGAAAAAAAACAATCACATATTTGATGATCCACAATGAAGGTAAGATAAATATTTGTGAAGCTCCCTTATGCATTGATGAATAGACTTGCACCAGTGATGCGCCTGCTCTTCGCCGTGTCCAATCCTCTCGACCTGTTTTTCGAATCAAGTGCTCTGGGCGCGAACACAGGAAAGGTGTTTGATGTAGGTGGAGCCAGGACAAATGATTTGATCCTCCAGATCCAAGGCCGCACATGCCTATTCCCGGTGGAGAATACTATTTCCATTGTACTACGTACCGGTTTGAGGATGCGGTTTTGATTGCTGGCATCGCGGTGGATGATGATGTGCGTCCAGGTGTCGGACAAGAATGGGTTGAAAGCGTCAACCCGCTATTAATATTTACCAATCACTATTATGCACTTTTAGTGATCACTATCAACCATCATTGCCAACTTTATATATATATATATATACATACGTGTGTGTATGTGTATAATGTATGCTTATATTTATGTGTATTATATATATATACATATGCGGATTGAGATGTTTGAAGCCTTCTGAGGTTTCCTGTCCGGACACTTTGGTTCCAGCAGTGTAGGCCGCGCTGTCCTGGGCTGGGGCTGGGGACTGGGGCTGGCCACATGGCGGAAATGGGCGAAAACTCTGAACGGAGATTCCATGGAACATGGATCCTTGTAACCGCTTGAAGCATATATGTTTCTTGATATTTCCTAGTAAACCGTCCAGTCTCTTTAGAAAATGGCGCGTGAACGCCCCCTAATTCGGATTGGGGAGAGAGAGAGAGAGAGAGATAGATATATATATATATATATATGAACAGGATTAAAGATTCGAATCCAAAGTTTGGGATTGAATAAGTTTCCAGATGGTGAAGATCAAGGTACCCAATGAAACCACCGATGATGTGCGTTTCGATGTTCAGTAGCATTTTTGGGATATGGTAAAATGTTGTCGCGAGCTCACTGGTTGACCGCCCACTGATAGTTTTTTTTGGGGGGAAATTGTCAAAGTAACACGAGACCTTTGGAATGGAGAAGAGATTCAACATACTCAACCAGGTGGTGCAAGATATTTAGCTCACTTGGTTTAGCAATTATAATTTATATAGAGATTTGCGGCATTTATATAGCTATAGTGAATGCTGCATGGTTCCAACTTATCCAGAGGGGAAGCAACCAGTTGACAGGTCATAGGGCTTTTTAACCGGAAAGCCTTATATTTGATGGTAAAAACCACGGGTTTCCGGTTAAGATGTTTCCCTTGAACCAATCCATTGTTTATCAGCCCCAAGAGCTTCCGTGCGGTTTCCAAGAGCGGCAAAGCAGTGGTCAGTAGTTGCTGATTGACCTATGATTGAAAATCCTCACTGGATGCATCAGAACATTTGGTCGCTGGTAGGTCAAGCTTGTGTTCCAGGCCATGTTGGTTGCTTTGACTTCCCCCATGACGTATAGTCAATGGGTTTAAGTTGCAGGTCATAACAATCCTTGTTTCTAGGGGGGTTGACCACCCCTTATCCATCCTTATCCTCATATGTGTTGCTTCAACTCCTCAAGATATACAGGGCCTACCATGATGTAGCATGATGTACCAAGACCGTAGCTTAAGCCTGACATAGCGAGGCTTGCTCGTTTTCGTGGTGGGCAACAATGCTCGATGTTCTCTTCAACCCTCTGTCGCTATGCTGAAATGCCCGAGATTTGCCGTGGTTTCTCTGGGGTGTGATTTTTTTGTGCTGAAATCCCCATGGATTTGCAGATGGACGCCCTGAAACTACGCGACCCCGCGACCCGAAGCCAGATGCGTTCGTTCGTGGGAATCCCTTGAAGAGTAGAAGGAAGCTGGCTTTCAACATGTTTGAATCAATCCTGGATTCAACAGATGATTCTTATGCCGGTAATGGGCTATCCGCCAAGTGAATTGGATGCCAACCAGCCAGATTTAATATGCGACATGATGGAATACACATATAGATATCAATACGTACCTCAAACAGACATCTATCGATCGATCCATCCGTTCATCCATCCATTCATCCATTCATCCATCCATCTATCTATCTATCCATCTACCCCCAAAACTAGATATTGAGAATACACACGTTCAATCTGGGGAAGTGATTTGATTTACTTAAGAAACAAACGGCTTGTCCCATGCCATTTTTAAGGAGCCTCAATGAGTGGACCTCCATTTGCATGGATACAACTCCATTTCGGAGACCCAGATCTTGATAGGAATTTTGCCGGATGATCCTTGTGCAAAGGTACAAGTGAATGGGATATGGACCAGATTGGACCAGGCATATACAGCATGGAAAAATTGTATGTACTTGTAACTTGTAACAGATTGAAACAATCAATGGGAAATTTGTGCTCCGTAAGTATGAATATTTGGTTGAACCTTGGTAGTTTGTTGGGGGCTGAGGTACTGCAGTGGTTCGCCTATGTTTTTCTTTTCTTAAAATTAAACTTGGGGTCTCTAAGGTTCAAACCTATCCATCATCGTGCGTTCAAAACTCATTTACTGCTTTGTTGGGCATGGATTAGGTCCCCTGTGTCACTTCAATTTCATGATTTTGTGGATGGATCAACCACTGACCAGCAAATTCCAAAACTGATTCATGATATCAAGCACCATGTCCTTTAAAAAATGTAGGTGAGACTTACCTGGTTGGTGGTTTGGAACATGTTTTTTGACTTCCCATATATTGGAATGTCATCATCCCAACTGACTAATGTTTTTCAGAGGGGTTGAAACCAACCAGTGATATCCCGGAATCGATTCTGGGGGAAAAACGGCAGGAAACCGCAACTTTGATTGGAAACAGCATGGCTTCGTGTAGAATTTTCCCGAGACCAATCCTGCCAATCCACTTACCATTCTCGAGCCATGGAATTGGGAATCTGTTTTCTTATGTCTTTAAGGAACGCCTTAGATTTAAATATATGTTTTAGTTATTTCAAAATGAAGAAAGAATCTAAAGATTTGTATCTGATCGCCCTTCAAAAAGGGCGGTATTTCTATAGGTTTTGTTTCAAATCTTAGCTCCCACCCAACGGGACCCCGATCCAACAGAGCTCCAACAGAGCTCCGGAAGCTCAGGAGTTGACTTGTTACATTGCCTTGGCCTGTGGAGCTGGGACACTGGATATCTTAGACTTGTTTCAGCAAGTGGCTTCTTGGTCGACCCTGGGAAACCTGGGAAACTGGATCTGAGTTGGATGGTCAAGTCGGGATTTGAAACTGGATTTTCATCATGGGAAAATAGGGAAAATGATGATTTGAGTGGGATTAGAATGGGAAAATTAGGGGAGAAAACTATGATTTTAAACATGTCAAATAGGAGAAATAATGCATTGAGGTTGCAAAACCAGCGGTATTTGAAATTCAAAAAAGCAGCCACTTGCAGCCACTCGAGTGGCCGCAAGTGGCCGCAAGTGGCCGCAAGTGGCCGCAAGTGGCCGCTCCAAGCGAGTGGCCGCAAGTGGCCGCAAGTGGCCGCAAGTGGCTTATGGCTGCTTGGACGGCAAATACCAGCCCGAATGGCCCCACCCTTGAAAATTTGAAAAAAAATGCTTTTCTCGCGAACTGCATTTTTTTCAAGTTTTCTGTGAAACGTGAGGTGAGAGTTGAAACGAAAGGAAATAACAAATAGGAGGGAAGAGTTGAAACGAAAGGATGGACGCAACGAAATGGACAAGGTGAAAGGAAAGGAAGAGCTAAACGATGCTAAACGAGCAAGACAGAAGAGTTGATACGAAGGCACAGACGCAACGAATAGAAAGGAAGAGTTGAAACGGAAGGAAAAACTGAACGATCAGGACGTAAGAGTTTATGCGAAAGAAAGGAAACGAACAGGACATAAGAATTAATACGAAAGAAAGGAAGTAACAAATGGAAGAGGAGACTTGAAATGAAAGAGAGGACGCAGCGAACGGAAAGGAAAAGTTGAGACGACACACGAAGAATTAAATTAGAAGGAAGGACGGAGCAAACGGCAGGGAAGAGTTGAAACGAAAGGGAAGAAGAAACGAACCGGATATAAAACTTGAAACGAGCGGACGGAAGTAACGCATAGTAGGGAAAAGGTGAAACGGAAGGAAAGACGCAATGAACGGAAACGAAGAGTTGAAACGAATGGGAAGAAGTACCGAACGGAATATAAGACATGGAACGAAAGGACAGAAGTAACGCATGGAAAGGAAGAGGCGAAACGAAAGGAAGGAGGCAAGGAACGGAAAGGAGACATTGAGTTGAAAAGAAAGGAAGGACACAATGAACGGAAAGAAACAATTTAAAGGGGCTGTTGTTTGTCGACCGGGTATACGCTTGTGCCTCCTACAGGGAAGAAAGGAAAGACATATTTTTTTCGAATTTTATCGCTTTTACCGTGGGTATTGGTAAATTTTTGATTCGTACCATTTTTTTCGTGGATGCTGGTTAATTTCTCGGTGTTTACCACTGTTTACCGCCTGTGTATAGCAAACCCTTGGCACTGCTTCACCAGATTTCCAGCACTTTTGGTTCGATCCGTATCATGTTTTTCAGCCGAAGGGGAGAGATGATTTTTATCATAGTTAGGTTGAATGCTTTTGTTATAATCACCCAAGTAGGAAATCTCTTGGACCATGGCCAGCAATGAACGACTTGAAACGAAGGGAAGCAGTAAGGAACGGGATGTCAGAGTTAAAACGAAAGGAATGAAGTAACGCATGAAAGGAGAGAGTTGAAACGAAAGGAAGACAGTAACAAATGAAAGGAAAGAGTTGAAACTAAAGGAGCGGCCGAACGGAAGGGAAGAGTTGAAACGAAAGGAAGGAAGTATATAAGGAATGAAAGGAAAGAGCTGCAACGAATCGACGAAAGAATGAAAGTAACGAACAGATTGTAGGAGGCGTAAGAGGTGAAACGAAGGGGGTTTATAAACGAGGTGAAACGTAAGGACGGACGTAACGAAATGAACGACTTGACAGCAAACGGAAGGAAGGAGTTGAAACGAAAGGAAGGAAGTAACTAACGTGGGGGAGTGTTGAAATTTAAAGAAGGAAGTAACAAACGAAATAGGCTAGTTACAATAAAACATGTAACCGAAAGGATTGTATAGGAATTGAGGCGAGTGGAAGGACGTAACCGCATGAACGGCTTGAAACGAAAGAAAGGAAGTATCAAATGGACGGGAAGAGTTGAAACGAAAGGAACGCTGTAGCAAATGGAAGGGAAGCGTTAAACAAAAATCAAGAAGTAACGCACTGGGGATAAGAATTTCTAACATTATTTGATGCTACACTCTGATACGCTCTGAGACCTTCTGCATGTTTTACATAGAATGCATTGATGCTACTACCCAACAGCTTCTCCTTAGGCTTCTAACTGGTTGCTGCTACGCTCTAAGATCTACCCAACTTGCAAATACTCTACCATCATTGATGCAACGCCCTAAGATCTTCTCTTCAATCTCCAAACTGCAACAGATCTTCAGTTTTCTACTATCATTGATGCTACGCTCAAAGATCTTCTCTTCAAGTTTCCAACATCAGCCATTCTACGCTCAAAGATCTTCTCAACTGTCCAACATTCAGATACGCTCTTCACTTTTCAGACATCATCGATGCTGCGCTCTAAGATTTCTTTCGTTTTTTCTCACATTCTACCCGCATTGATGCTATGTTTTTCGATTTTATTTCCATCTTTCTCCCATTGTACCATCATTGATGCTACTACGCTCTAAGAACTTCTCTTCAATTTTCAAACATGTTTGATGTTACGCTCTAAGATCTTCTCTTCAATTGTCCAACATACTTGAAGCGACGTTCCAAGATCTTTACTTCAAATTTGAAACATCAGTGATGCTGCGCGCCAAGATCTTCTCTTCAAATTTTCCAACATCATTGTCTTTTCCATGTTCTGACATCATCAATGCTGCGCTCTAAGGTCTTCTTTTCAAATGTTGAATATCACTGACCCTTAGCTCGACGATCTTCTTTTCAATTTTCTACAATAGCATCTCATTAGTTATGTTCTTGGGTCTTGGGTCTTCTCTTCACCTTTCTATTATCATTGACGCTACGTGCCAAGGTTTTCTCTTGTATTTTCTAACATGCCACGTTCTAAGATCTAATCAACTTTCAAATATTTCGTCATCATTGATGCTATACTCCAAACATTCTACCATGAGTGATTCTACGGTCTAAGATCTTCTCTTGAATTTTCTCACATTCTACCCTGATTCATGCTAGCTGCTACCCCTCAAATTTCTAGCAAAGTTGTTGCTACGCTCTGAGATCTTCTCTTTGATTTTCTTACATAGTACTGCGTTGACGCGGTAACATTTTTCTTTCATCTTTTTAGCATCATGGACCGTCTAAGGTGTTCTCTTCATCAACTTTCAAACATTATACCATCACTGACACTACGCTCTAAGATCTTTTCTTCAGCTTTCTAACATACTTGACGCTACGCTCTGAGATCTTCTCTTCAATTTTCTTCTATCATTGATGCTACGCTCTGGGATATCTTTTCCATTTCCAACATTCTACCGTCATTTTGCTACGCTCAATCCCTTCGACTTTCCAACATTGCACCATCATTGGAGCTATTCTCCAAGATCTTCTTTTTAATTTTCTCCCGTTCTACCACCGTTGATGCTACGCCCCGAGATCTTCCCCACGCTATGGAAGACATGGGTGGCATATGGTTAGCCACATGGTTTCGTGAGACACGATAAAATCCTACCCATCTAACCTCCAAACTTGAAAAAAAAACGCATTTCCAGCAAAACCAATTTTTTTCAAGATGCCAACTCTGCCATGTATTTCTACCAGCACGCAGCCACTCGCAGCCACTCGCAGCCACTCGAGTGGCCGCAAGTGGCTTTAAGTGGCCGCTCCAAGCGAGTGGCCACAAGTGGCCGCAAGTGGCCGCTCCAAGCGAGTGGCCGCAAGTGGCCGCAAGTGGCCGCAAGTGGCCGCAAGTGGCCGTTCCAGACAGTTCCCAGCGAGTGGCCGCAAGTGGCCGCAATGGCCGCTCCCAGCGAGTGGCCGCAAGTGGCCGCAAGTGGCCGCAAGTGGCCGCAAGTGGCCGCCCCAGACAGTTCCCATGGCCGCAAGTGGCCGCAATTAAGTGGCCGCTCCCAGCGAGTGGCCGCAAGTGGCCGCTCCAGCCAGTTCCAAGCGAGCGGCCGCAAGTGGCCGCAAGTGGCCGCAAGTGGCCGCTCCCAGCGAGTGGCCGCAAGTGGCCGCAAGTGGCCGCTCCCAGCGAGTGGCCGCAAGTGGCCGCAAGTGGCCGCAAGTGGCCGCAACTGGCCGCAAGTGGCCGCAAGTGGCCGCTCCCAGCGAGTGGCCGCAAGTGGCCGCAAGTGGCCGCTTTCGACGATTTCAATTTCCACACTCAAAGCAACCTCCCTGCATTGGATGGTCAAGTCGGGATTTGAAACTGGATTTTCATCATGGGAAAATAGGGAAAATGATGATTTGAGTGGGATTAGAATGGGAAAATTAGGGGAGAAAACTATGATTTTAAACATGTCAAATAGGAGAAATAATGAGCAGTGGGATTATAATGGGATATCATTGGGACTCTATGATATTATAGGGGGATATAATGGGATATATTATATATATATGATAAACCTTGACTATTAATTGAGGGAGATGCCCCCCAAATAGTGATAGATTATTGTTTGAATTGGTACCAGACTTGCTGGTGAACTAGAGGTTCCTTAATCCTAGGTCACCATTGTGGAAGTAAACAAATGACAGAAATCTTCAAGGAAGACTGACTATGAATTTGAGAAGTAAAGATTGAAATCTTACAGAAAGTTTGGGGTAGAACATTGGTCTAGAAAAGCCTAATTTCATAAATCTCCAATTTGGGAGGTGGCCATGAAGAAAATCAGACCTCTTGAATGGGACATGTGAGGATTCACCCGGTGATCAATGTGGGTCAACCGACCGGGGACCAGGCGACATGGGTAAACCACTGCGAAAAGTTGGTTCAAGACTCATCCAACTATAGAGATATCTACCACAAACCCTACTTCATGTGCTCCACCTTGTACTAGCTTGACCTTTTGTGTGTGTGTGTTATGCGAATGGAACCTAAGATTGGCCATGGTTTGTATCAAGTCACGGTGCCACATGATCCTAACGTGGGACATTTTTTACTGTCAAAATGTCCTGAATTCATGTTGGTGCCTCCAGGAAACTGGATACTTTGCTATGAATGGTCAACCCTGGATTAATAAACCCCACACGGCTGTTTAGCTGGGAGGGTACCATAAAAAAGTATCAGATGAAATGACTATTGGAGGAGTACCCCCTAATTAATAAACCATGGTTTATTAATCCGGGGTTGACATTAATGGTCAACATTGTATAATTGGATCTTGGCGAGCATTCTTCTCTGATATGGAAATTTGGATCATCCCAAAATGGCGTGTTGAAGTTGTTGAATATCATAATGTGATGGCAATGCCGCAATGCTATAAACATATATAAACATCCATAAACCACCCATATGATGAAAGAATCATGGTTTATGCAACCCATTTATGGATATGTATGGTAAAATTGGGGATGGTTTACCATTCACATCTATTCACATTGCCATTTCCGCGTATCTCGCAGTCAGGTAGCTGGCACGATTGCGGTGCATTTGCCTCCTGGCACTATGATGTTTCAGTTTTTGTTGAAGGTTCCATTGTTGGAAGCTGGTGGTTCGCCAGCAAACCACATATTTGTTGTCAAAGAAAGTTCAACAATCGTCATGGCAGAATGTGATATATATATATATATAATAATATATATATATATATATTTATATCTATATAATAGTGCATACTCATTTGCTTACTTGCTGTATGTTTATCTATAACTGAACTTTATATAATATATATATATATTCACCTATTTTCACATATATTTTACAAATGCACAGACAAAATAAAGAGATGTAGAATATACAGCTTATGTTTTGCTGTTTTCTTCATGAGAACGATGTTGGAGACAACTTGTCGACATCGCCTGTCGTCACTTGGAAATTGAATTTGATCAAATGGCGAGCTCACCCAGCTGTGACAAGATCGGGGGATACAATGGGATGGGATGGGACATAGCAAACAATATGATACAGGATTGTCCAAGAACTAAGGTGTTTACTCCAATCTACGGTAATTTTCACGGGGAGGTTTGAAACTATGGGAGGATAAAAGCACTGCGATATTTTGGTTTGATGAACTCGATGAACTAAAATATCATCAAACGATCATTGCTTGGTTTGAACATCAGCTTGCCTAACTGGTTGGTGGTTTCAAACATGAATTTTATTGTCCATTTCATATATGGGATGTCATCCTTCCCATTGACGAACTCATATTGTTCAAGATGGTTAAAACTAACCACCAACCAGCTAAAAAATGCCTAAAATCTGGAAAGTCGAATCTTACCGATCATCGGTTCTCCCTGAGGCCATTTGCGGACCACTTAGCCCTGAATTTACAGGTGCGCTGCGCACCACTTAGCGCTGGGAAATCCTGAAAGAAAAATGGAGGAAAAACGGTTGATCTCTGGGAGAATTTGGGAGAATCATCGATAGAAATCTTGGGCGTCCAGCCATGCGGTCATTCGCTGAGACATTTGCAAGAAACTTACTCCGTGCTGAAGATAGATTCTGATAGATGCTTTAGAGTTTACATGCATATATACGTCGATACCCTTGGAGGATTCAAAATCCAATTGTTCGCGATTTGGGGATCAAAATCCAGACAATTGGACAAAGAATTGGACAAACAATTGGATTTAGCACATTGTCTTCGATTCAAAATCCGTTTGTCAAATCCATGCCGTGCCAATTTTTTCAGATGCTATTTGAGGCTGCAATTTCGATGTGCGACAGGTTATCTCCCAACTTCAGGGATCATTAGATCCAGTGCCGGCAAGAAACGATGGTGTTACCCTCCGGTAAAGTTCGAAAAAACGAACTGGAAAGATCATGAAAGATACACCATGTATAGCTGGGAAAATCCACTCTAAATGGCCATTAAATGATGTTATAGCTGGGAAAATCAACTATAAATGGCCATTAAATTATGTTATAGCTGAGACAATCCACTACAAATGGCCATTAAATGATGTTATAGCTGGGAAAATCCACTATAAATGGCCATTAAATGATGTTATAGCTGGGAAAATTTACTATAAATGGCCATTAAATGAATGATGTTATAGCTGGGAAAATCCACTATAAATGGCCATTAAATGATGTTATAGCTGAGGAAAATCCACTATAAATGGCCATTAAATGATGTTATAGCTGGGAAAATTTACTATAAATGGCCATTAAATGAATGATGTTATAGCTGGAAAATCAACTATAAATGGCCATTAAATGAATGATGTTACAGCTGGGAAAATCAACTATAAATGGCCATTAAATGATGTTATAGCTGGGAAAATCAACTATATTTAATAAATGGCAATTGTCCATAGTTTTTGTATGTTTACCAGAGGGTACCCATTCATAACCCACAGGCCCTGCTGGTTCTCTCAGCACCCACGACCAAAACCCTCCGAGCTCCAGGCCTTTGGGCTTTTGTTGGCCCCCATTTGTGAGTTTGCTGGCAGCCTCTGGGCGAATACGGTGGCCTTTTGGGGGTATCCCGTTTGGGCTACGGCTGACCCCGGGTTAACATGAAGAAAACGCATGTTGAAAAAATATGGAAAAACATGATGGACCCAGATTTCAATACGACAATACCTTTGGGTTGCTGAATTCCAATACGTTTGTCAAATTCACCCCAATCATATCCAATCGTGTCCATGTTTTTTTTTCTTCTGGTCAAGTTTTTAAAGGGTGCATGTCCAAACCACCATTCCACTCTGTTGCGGACATCAACAAAACTCATCCAAAACTATAGGTAACACGTTTTTCGTACCGGGTGGGGAAAAAACATATTTTGTATTGGGAAAAAACGCCTTTGTGTTGGTTAAAAAAACGTCACCAAAACCCAAAACTCATGGGGATTTGGATTTCCTTGCGCGATGGGACAGCGCTCAAAACGAACAATGAATGTGAATCGCAAAATATGCAAAAATGCCATAAGTAGGTCCCGGAGCAGAGTTGAGGATAAGTGGAGCCTATGAAACACAGTTCTGACAGGAAAAACTGAAAAAATGCGCAAATTTCATCAAATTTCGGTTTTCAACCCATGGGCTTCAACATGGCTTAAACATGGGTCGTTCGCAAAGTCATCCGTAAAGCCCATCATATACACCCCAAGTTTGAAAAAAACACATGGGATGTATTGTCTATCCAGTGGTTAGCGGGGAGGGCTGAGCTGAACTATGGTACATCGATATCTACCCTCTGGTTATTTCACATAGCCATGGGAAATGGCCCATTTATAGATGGTTTACCTTTTAAAAATTGTGATTTTCCATGGCTATGTTAAATAATGCCAACATCGGATTAATCAACCCCCCCCCCTGGTAGGTAGGGGGGTACCTTCTGGCTAGTTTCTCGACCACCCCTTAATAATATAAGCAACTCTGAACCATAAAAATTTGGATATGGCTTACGTCAATTAGATCTTAATAGAATTCTATTGGATTTGTTAAAATCTCATGGATCAGAAAGGTGGTTGATTAATCAGGGGCAAACCATGGTTATTATTAGTGGGGGACATGGGCTCATGGGGGGTACCCTTTGGGAGCTATCCAAACTGATGATTTTTATAAAGATTTTAATTAGAAATCGATCATTTGGGGAATAGTCATTTTTTGAATTTTTCAATGATCAACTTAAACCTTGAGTATAACAATGATGATTAAAAAAAGGTAAAAACAAATTGGAAATAAATAGAATTGGAAATAAAAATTGTTGGATAAAAAAAAAGATTTCAGCACTGGTGGTTTTTTAATCGGGGGGGTTTATTAATCCTGGGGGACCACCTTTTTTTAAATTACAAAAAAACAATTGGGCAGAGGGGGTTGATTAATACCGCGGGGATTATTAATCCTAACTTGACATTAACCAGATTGTATGTATATATATATATATATTTATGTTTCTATTAAATGCGGAGCCAAGGAGCTACTGATAGTATTTCGGGTTTCCCAACTACATGATAGTTGGTTTTGACGTTGCTTGTGTGATGAATTCACCCCCTGAAGTAGAGCATGTCACCAGTCACCAGCAGGCCAGCAATTGATCACGTTTGCTCTGAGGGATCAGGCACGTCCCCCAAATCAAGAAATTCAAGCCCAAGGTTCTTAAACTGGTTGGTGGTTTGGCACATTTATTTTTCCATATATTGGGAATGTCATCATGCCATTTGACTTTCATATTTTTCAGAGGGGTAGGTATACCACCAACCAGATCATAATCCATACACTTGTACACCCACCACCGGACGAAAGCCGACGAAGTTCATCCAGGGGATCCAGGGGCCAAGACTAGTCGCAATGGGACGATGTTTTTGATGACCATATCGTTGTGTTCAAACGCGATGCTGGCGTTGGATGATGTTGGATGTGCCACATTCTACGCAAAAAACACTGGTTGGTGGTGTGGAACCATGGAATTTTGGAATGGATGATGACTTTCCCATCATATTGGGAATGGAACATCATCCCAACTGATGAATATATTTTTCAGAGGGGTAGGTCAACCACCAAGCAGATCTGCAATTGGATTTGCAATGGCACTTTTTAATATTGGCTTTGGCTGGTGGGTCATGGGGCAATGGACCTAGTTTGGTGAACTTTACGTGCAGCAACCCCCGAAGATAGGTGGATGGACACTTCGCGATGTGTCGTTTTGTTTTTTGCTTCCCTGAAAAACCACGCGGGTGACAGTAATGTTATTATGTTGTGTGGTGATATCTCGAACAGGTCCACCAGGTCCACCAACTCAGCGAATCACCTCCCGAGGCCATTATGCCTGGGGATGCTACTTGATTCCTGCCATGCTCTTTGAGGGGCCTGAAGTTAGGCGCGGGACCGCGGGAACTTCTCCCTTCGAAGCCGGTTGCCATGGGAAACTCTTCCTAACCTTTGAAAAAAGCGGGAACATCATTGCTGCAGTTCGGTCTAAGTGGGACTCTTAACAAGGGTTCAATTATGTTTAACCATGAAATTGGGGTTCACCGGGTTCACCAACACAATTCGGATGCTTCCACTTGAATTTCTGCGACCTCTCTGTAAATAACGAGTGAGGGGAACAGACCCCAAGTTCGCTTGTTTTCGATACGTGAAGTAATTGTGATAATTCAGTCAGTCAGATTATGAGTTGGGCAGTTTGAAGATTATGTCCATTGGATTCTTGTAGCGAAGAGGTCTGTTTGTTTTGATATCCTGATGGAATTATCATTTCGGAATTGCTAGGTTGGTGAACATAGCTTCAATTTCATTGTTGGGTTTTTGATACATGTATTCATGAGGGTTGCCAACGTTCACATCACTGGGGGGCCCGCACCACCAGACGTACCAGATTCAAGGGTATTATAAGCAAAACATGGGTCCAAATGGCAATGTTGTAGTATGTTTCAATGAGACACTGATGACTAACCATCATCATTTTGCTCTAGGTAGCCTCTGAAATCAGACATTTTCAGACTAACCCATTCAACTGACATTAGTAACCCATGTCCACTAGTTTTTTCTGGTTGGTGGTTTGGAACAGTTTTTATTTTTCCATATCTTGGGAATAATTATCATCCCAACTGACGAATTCCATCATTTTTCAGAGGAGTAGGTAGAAACCACCAACCAGCCATAATTAATTAACCAATGATTAACAATCATTAACCACTATTAACCACTATTAACCACTACTAATCACCTTTTTCCTATGGTTTTCCTGTGGTTTTCCTACGGTTTTCCCATTCAAACCTCCATAATTTCCCATTGATCCCACTGTCAGATCAATGGTGATGGATCCCAGAGCGACCCTTGGCAGGCGGAAAGATGGGGAGAACTCATGGAAAATAATGGGCAATTTATGAATATTAATGGGTATAATTGATTAATAATAGATGATCTATGATATAATTAATGGAATAATATACGAATATAGAGCCAATAATTGGATAATTAATAATAGATGATCATAGATGATCATAGATGATCATAGATGATCATCTGGGGAAATTGTAACGACCGAACCCTGCGACCTAAACCTGGAATCATGGTTAATAAGGGAAATCATCCCCAAATGGCCGCAAGATTCAGCTTAGTGAAATATTAAAATTTACCCAGATCAATGGATTGGTTTAAGGGAAAATTTACAGATTTTACAGGAACCCCCCTTTGGGAAAATCGATATGCTTTCCTGTAATTTTTCCCTTCAATCAATCCAATGACAGAAATCAAAAATTGGTAGAATATGATTGGAACATTGGAAATAACTTATAATTTCCAATAATATGTAATAACAATCATTGGAAAATTGGAACATTGGAAGATAATTGGAAATATCATATAATTCTCACGGAAATATGTCCAAGTGGCACAATTGGAAAATTGGAAATATCATCTTCGTTTTCATGGGGATATTCAAAACTGGAAATATCATGGAGGTATAATATGGTAGAACGATGTATCATGGGCATTTTTCTTGTTATTTAATGGGGATATACTGGTAGAAGCTAACTTTATATGAACTCTCCGGTGGGGTTTTGGAGTTGAAGCTGTTCCTAATGGTATGGATAAGCCATCCATACAAGATGATGGAAATCAATATTTGATGCGGAAATTCAATGACCACCAAGAGGATTCCCAATGTGGAAGCTTGCCAACACTAGTTTTGGAATATATTATGTTTGGATTGGTGTTTGTTGGGAGGTGGGAGTGGGAGGAGAACAGCACAGTACATGTTAAAATCTTGAGTTACCCTCTGGTACTTTAACATAGCTATTGAAAATACATGACCATACCCCATAGAAATAGTTGATTTATCCAGCAAAAAAAGTGTCTCCTATAGTTTTTCTATAGTTTTTTTGTAAACGTGTACCATTTCGGGTAAATCCTATGGGGTTGAACATGGACCAAAACGGCTCGCAGAGTTGTCGTGGATGCTCCAAGATTTGCTTTCAATCATCGATCCGTAAATCATCCATATAATTCTTCTTACGGGACAAGGTGTAAATAGTTTCAAACTCCTTGCTAATCACTTAAACATCAAGTATGTTCGACTTGTGGACCTGTGGGTGTATTTTCTGGTTTTTAAATACCCAAATATGACATAGCAGCAGAACCCGAAGGAAACAATTCTCATCACTCCAACCGACCATTTGGCTGCAAACTGGCCCCATGGATTGTGCACTGATGCGTTCAGATATCAATTGAGTTGCAAGCCCACACTACTTTGAGTTTAAGTATGTGTTTTTTTTGTTTCATAGAATTGGATGATGGGAAAATTTAAAGGAAGGCCCTGTATTTGATGGTAAAAACCATGGTTTCCAGTAGATTTTCCCTTAAACCAACCCAATAATTGTTGTACTCCATGATGATTACATCTGTGCATATGTCCATCATTGTAATTGGGGGACTCGATGGATCTCTGCTCTAATTGTATATGTTAACTTAACCAGCTAGTAGTCTATCCTCACTATCCGTGGCAGCTACAGTGTCATATGAATCATAGCTTGCTTTTATTCCCATGACATTCCAATACAGTAATATGTCCATGACGAATCTTGGCTACATCTCTATAAAATGTTTGGCCCTGTGCCCCATGCTTAAAGGTTTATTCCATTATTCTCACCATATTGAGACATGTCAGTATCATTGCATGTTTCCTCGGCAATATATAGCCTCCATGATATTCCCAAAACATTCCCATGATATGTCCATTGTTGTTGATTAACTTTCTATTTGCCTGGTCACCCCCCATGTTCGTTGCTTGGAACACATCTTTCCCTCAAAATCCTAGCTTCTATACCCCATCCCATTCGATCACCAGCCCCAATTCCCAGCTCGTCCTCTCCCCACCAGAAAAAAGGTCCCAGCGGCCTGAGGTACCCTCAGGTGATGTCAACATATCACCGCCAGATGTTTCACAGTTTGCCTATGCGTATGCCGGCAGCGGCCTCGGGGCCGGGCGCGGATCCCATGCGCACGCGCATGCCGCCGGTGGAAGCAGGCGACGCTGGTGGCGCCAAAGTCGTGGGGTGTTTTTTGGGTATGTGCGAAAAAAAACCCAAAACATGTGATTGACTTGAACATGGATGATGTGATTTTGATATTTTGGCAAATTGTTAAATTCCGATGATATTTTTGTATTTTCGCTTATTTTACACCCAGAACATGATGGTGGAGACAAATTCAATTCTAAGATATTTTAGCGAGACTATGGAGACAAATCATCGCCTGGAACCGTCCAAAGATGTGGATTGTCGGAGGCTTTCCATACGCTGGTGAATATGTGGCCATTCAGCACAGTTGACACATTTTTTGACACTTTTCCAGTGGGCACGTCCAGTAAATGCAGCTTGACATCATAGCACGCAACGGGCAAGTGCGTTGCTAAGGTGAAGTGTTGTTGGCAATTTGGAGACCCCAGGTCTCATTCTACATGTGGGGGGCAAAAATGTGTTGGAGACATCCGTCGTCCTCCGCTCGTCCAACATGGCGATCACTGGGAAATCACCCTTAAATTTGACATGTGGAGGTTATAACGACCGAACACGGCGACCGAAACCTGGAAATCATTGTTTATTTTAAAGGAATCATCCCAAAATGGCCGAACTAACTTTTCAGGTGAGTGAAGTATTATAATTTTGCCAGATAAATGGAGGAGTTTCCATTGCCCTGTTTGATTCCTGGAGGGTACTGTAATTACCAAAAATTCGCCGCACTAAGGACTTTTTTTGAGGATTAAATGCCTGCAAAGATGATATTTTTAAGACCCAGAACAAGTACAGTTCACGTTGTTTGGATGAATTTCCGAATATATTTCTGAATGGTTCCCCAGATCATCCCATTGGTATATCCTTAGCACATCTTTAAAAAATCCTCCCAAAACCTCTGATTTCAGAGATTCTGCAAACTGTTCCAATGGTATTGTGTTTTCCCCAATTTGATCTTGGGACGATGTTTTCTACTTTACAATACTATTTCGCTACGTAATGTGCAATACTACAAGTATACCTATAGTGTATATATATATAGTTGTGCAATATCCTAGTCCTAATGGGGCTCTATCTCATTGTACTGGTAGTCTTGAACAAGTATCAAAGCCTCAACCATCTGAAATGTTGACTTAAACCAATGAGTAACCTTTCCCGCCAGACCACAAACTGAAAGTCTGAAAGCCTCGGGGAAACGATGGGGCATTGCTTCAATATATGCAGTAGTACTTTGAATGAGCGTTTCCTTCAAAGAAAGTCCGTGAATGGAAGCAGTATACTCTTTTGAATTAGTGCTGTATTCTTAAACAAGTGTAGCAGCGTGGCATCACTTTTTGCAATATATTCCATTAAGATCCATCAACAGGAGTGACATGTTTCCGGAGAATAGTGTATAATAATATTTCTTTGACAACATAACACTGTTTAAACTACGGTCCTTCACTAGATGCAGTATTACTTTGAAAGAGCCTTTCAAGGTGCAGTATTCCTTGTGAAAGGACGAAACATGGTGGAGCATTCCTCTGAAAGAGCGCAGCACTACTTTAATATGTTTTTGTTCAACGGATGCATTACTCTCTTGAAATAATGTAGTACTAAGTACACAGTAAATTCGTTCGACAATGCTGTATCATGAACACTATGTTCTTCCAGAGGGCGTAGCACTAACACACAGGGCAATACCCTCTAAGGATTTTAAAGGGAGTGAAACAGTTCTTGAAAAGAGCACCGTATTCCTTAAGGCAGTGTACCGTCACTATTTAAATTCAAAGTAGAAATCGTCAACAAACGCAGCAATACTTTTAAAGAGGCCTTCAAAATGTGCAGTATTCCTATAGAAAAGGGTGCCACCTTTGGAAAGATGACAGTACTACTTGAGAGTAAAATGTTCAAATGCATGCAGCACTCTCCTGAAAGAGTATGGATTCCTGCTTGCCTAAATGCTTCTTTCTCAGAGGGTCATGATCCAATTAATCTTAATTAACCCCAAGTCAGGCCAAGTAAATACATTTTAAATCTAATTCAACCCAATAAGATCGTATTAAATCATACAATCTAAGCAAATTATAACGACCTCGCTGCAACCTCACTTGAATCATGGTTAATAAGAGGAATTATTCCAACATGGCCGAACTTTTCAGGCTAGTGAATTGTTACTTGCGATACAATGAAAAACCATATTCAATCCATATTCAACCGCATGAAATCATATTAAGTCAAATTCAAGCCACTTAAGATCCACTGGCCATCCCTCACTCCTCAGCTTTTCGCCAGGTTGGGGCGATCAGGTGGCCTCCATGATCCCTATGGGTTGGCCTGGCTGGCCGGACGTGCCTGGGACGTGCCGCAGATTTTGGGAAGCGGATTAGCCGACAAAAAGGGCTGCTTCACCAAGAAACATGATGTTTTTTTGGATTTCACAGGGATTTCCTGGGAAATCATAGCGATTTCGTGGGATTTCATGAGGATTTTCTAGGGAGTTCATGGTGATTTTTTTCGGGATTTCACGTAAGTTGATGGGATATATCACTAACAATGCTAGGGATATTCAAGTATCCTATTGTTGGATATTGTTGGTGCTATCCCTCTTATTGGTGGTTACTTCAGTTTATATCACCAATGTATACTGGATCCATGGAAGTGGCCAAATCGTATATCTAGAAAGGGTATACTTCAATGAATAGATGGTAAACAACTAGATCCCAAGTTTGGATTTAAGCATGTGTCTTGCATACCTGCAACCCAAATGGCCCTTGTTTGATTTGAAGATTAGGACCCGTAAAATGGAGGTTTGCCATCCGCAGAGGGGCCAATTGTGTTCCAAGTGTTTACATATATATATATATATATATTATGTGTGTAGTATGATCATAGTAAATCATATTATATATATATATTTTTTTTATTATGTTGTTATCTTGATATCGTATTACATCATATTGCCATTTTGTGTGGCATTGCGTTAAATACATAAAACATACGTTGTGTTTGTGTATATTGAATAGTATGTACTGTAAATGATTGCCCGTAATTCTGATGACATTGAATTACATGATGTAACATAGTTTTTAACATTGTATTATACTATATGTTTTTGTTTCTTTCAAACGTATATTCCATCTGCATATGCATATATCATATATATATATATGTAGGTCTATAGATGTATATCCATGAAAACATACATTCATATACATGTATTATACACGCATAGTTCTATGTACATGTACACATTTGTTTAGGTTGCAGAACCCATACACACACATATAATATATATATATATATAGAGATGTGTGTTTTTGTTCGTCCAAATGGGAAATAGCTGAAATGTTTCATGGTTGCAAACACACCAAAAGTGATGCTTTTGGCATCCAAAGTTGGCTGTAAGCAACGTATGTTGGTGGACACAGTCAATGCAGTTGCTGTAGCTGGTGGAAGGATCGTTTCAAGAATTGCTGTACCTTTTCCAGGCACAAACCATCGTACGGGAGTATGAATATGTATGGCCTAATAAACCATCCCCAATGATCAAACAAATCTCTAAGTAGCACATTCATGGCTAATAGTCAAGCACCCGCGATGATTCGCGTTTGAAACGGGTTTAAAAAAACAACAAAATTGAAGGTTTTCCACATGGTATGATTGTGTAAGGATAATTTATATATTTCAACCTCCAAAATACACGTCCAAGATTGAACGGTTGCAACCTGATTCACCATTGCTAATGGCTATCGCTATGCTTCATGGGTGAATGCTTATCACATTCGTACGAGATGTTCTCCCGCCCGTTCAGTTGGATTTGGAGCACCGTGGCCACCCGTTGCCAGGTCCAAGCTTACATGCCCTTTGCCGGTGGATACCAGGCCCCCGCGCTGCCAGTGCTGGGTTTAATGGAGGAGTTTCGGGGCTGGATGGTTAAATGATTAAAATAACATAAAATAACATAAAACAAACACCAAACAGTGGTGGTGGTTTACAGTAAGTGTCTTAAATGATCTAAAATGACAATATATTAATTATTGGGTACATCATGGGTACACAAGCAATGATGACCTGGTTGCTGTTTTCAAGGTATTTTTGCAACAGTGTAACTTAGAAATGTGATCCCAATTGACTCGTGCAGATGGGTGGCCCAGCCGCCAACTAAGAATATCCTTCACATTGACATTCGGACACAGGCATGAACCAGTGAAGTACATGATATTCCACGGTTCCCAGGTATGAGTGCCGGGCAATAGTTGCATGCAGTCATTGCAGTTTGCATGCTGGTTGATTGTTGCACCTTAGGCTGTGCTTGAGATGTGTCTTTACCAAGTGGCCAATAGTCACCGACGGGGGATCATGTTCGGGATGGGTGGCAGGACAGCGATGCTTTTTCAGAAGGGTTCATTTTTTTTCGGTGATTTAAGTCCTGGGCACGTAACATTTCTTGAGCAGGTACCTGACCCTCCAAATAATACATAATGATATCATCAACACAAGGTCGAAAGTTTAATTTTTCTTTTGGCGATAGATAGATTGCCCAAGAGATACTTCGCCAGAAGGAAACCACTTGGATTTTGATATTGAATTGAGTCGGGGAGAAATGATCTTCACCATCCCTGCTGGTTATTTGATGCATATACAGATCTTCTTACAACTGGTTTGTTCGTGCAAAAGGATTCCTGTTAGCACCTTTGTGAAACCAATGGTGGTGTTCCCAAGCCCATTTCCTTTTTTTGCTAAACGAACACATCATTTGCTGTATTTCCACTACTATCCTTCTTATTTATCCTTATTTGTCCATCATTGTCTCCATGTGCATGCGGTTTGGTTTAAAAATAGGCGAGAGAAATATCCCATGGTCAAGCATCACTTCTTCCATTGACATTGCCATTGGGGGTTGTCCAATTTTAATTCACTCCCACTATGATCATTTATTATCCATTGTTGATCATCTTCGGTGGCAAATTCTGCAAAAAAACAATATCTATATATATAATGAAATGAAAGATTTGTACAACAATCAAATCCTCTGAAACCATTTGCATCCATATAAAACCATTTTGTATATATACACACATATATGTATATATATCTATATATATTTGATATACGAAACCACCATATTCACCGATGATTCATAGATTAATCCTCAACTCCAAGAACTTCCGCTAGTTCCAGGTCGATGCTTTGGCCTCCTCGTCACAAGAACAGCCTCACGACGCTTGGCGGTGACTTTTGGATCTATATGGTTATTTTTAAGTACAGTACGATATGATTGCAGTATGGGATGCGTATAATATCTATCTATATATATATATATATGAGCAACTCGTTTATTCATTTATCTTTTTATTCATGTGTATGTATGCATTTTTACATATATGTAATTATACATATGTATACATATATGTCCGTATATGAAAAAAACAATAAATATGATATTTGTTTTAATCTCACGTCGATGTTGAATGTATACACAGGAGAATCATCCCACATGTTCGTATCTCAGCTATTTTCTGGTTTGTGAATGATTTTAATGCTGCCAAATGGGATAGATAAGTATGTGCATACATATATATATATATATATACATATAATGTTATTTTGTGTGTACATGTAAATTGTGTTTTCAAATGAAAATAAACAGAGTTTATGGGACAATGAATGTTTGGATGAATTTGATCACAACCGAACCCAGCGACGTCACGAATGATGCTGTATATACAGGTAACTCTCCCAAAATAAGGTTGTTTCAGGGGGATTATTACAGTTTGCCTGGCATGCGGTTTGCTGGGCACTTGGAGAATAATCCCACGCACTGTAGCTGGCTGATAAATGTTAATAACACCGATTAGTAAGTGGCAGATCCACGGGTTCCCCACCTGCCAGGTGAGGGTCTCAAAATTCCAACACAGCATCCCGTAGCCGCACACCGTGGCATTAGTTTCACTTCAACCCTGCGGGATATATACCAAAAAGGTGTGCCGGAAAAAGAACATGTGAGAATATGCGTTAGATAGAACGTCAGGGTATATGTCAGATAAAATGTCAAATAGAATGCCAGCATATGAGTGACGATCAAAACCCCCGCAGAGGAGTTTTATACAAACGTATGAATGGAGTATGTTGTTGTAAATTTGTAGTCCGTTTTGCCTGGGAGGCGCAAGAAAGCGCAAGGGCGGGCGCAAGATATATTAATATCGTTGTTCTTTTCTGTATCAGTGAACATCTGCTGCTGTAGCGGCCCAGAGCTGGTAGGCAGGACAGACGGAACCATACCTACCAAAACGGAATCAAATTCCAAGAGGTATGGTAGAAGCAGAGTGTATACACAATTATACACTTATAAAATTTGATTCCCAAAACGGCCCTTTCGAGCCGAAAAGCAGCTTTACGGGAATCAAATTTCAAAAGGTATGGTAGAAGGAGAATGTATACACATAGCAATTTGATTCCCAAAACGACCCTTTCGAGCCAGAAAGCAGCTTTACGGGAATCAAATTTCAAGAGGTATGGTTGAAGGATAGTGTATACACAATTATACACATAGAAATTTTGATTCCCAAAACAGCCCTTTTGAGCCAGAAAGAAGCTTTACGGGAATCAAATTTCAAGAGGTAGTTTGGTAGAAGGAGAGTGTATACACATAGGAAATTTGATTCCCAAAACGGCCATTTCGAGCCAAAAAGCAGCTTTACGGGAATCAAATTTCAAGAGGTATGGTAGAAGGAGAGTGTATACACAGAGGAAATTTGATTCCCAAAACGGCCATTTCGAGCCAGAAAGCAGCTTTACGGGAATCAAATTTCAAGAGGTATGGTAGAAGGAGAATGTATACACATAGGAAATTTGATTCCCAAAACGGCCATTTCGAGCCAGAAAGCAGCTTTACGGGAATCAAATTTCAAGAGGTATGGTAGAAGGAGAGTGTATACACAGAGGAAATTTGATTCCCAAAACGGCCATTTCGAGCCAGAAAGCAGCTTTACGGGAATCAAATTTCAAGAGGTATGGTAGAAGGAGAGTGTATACACAGAGGAAATTTGATTCCCAAAACGGCCATTTCGAGCCAGAAAGCAGCTTTACGGGAATCAAATTTCAAGAGGTATGGTAGAAGGAGAGTGTATACACAGAGGAAATTTGATTCCCAAAACGGCCATTTCGAGCCAGAAAGCAGCTTTACGGGAATCAAATTTCAAGAGGTATGGTAGAAGGAGAATGTATACACATAGGAAATTTGATTCCCAAAACGGCCATTTCGAGCCAGAAAGCAGCTTTACGGGAATCAAATTTCAAGAGGTATGATAGGAGGAGAGTGCATACACAGAGGAAATTTGATTCCCAAAACGGCCATTTCGAGCCAGAAAGCAGCTTTACGGGAATCAAATTTCAAGAGGTATGGTAGAAGGAGAATGTATACACATAGGAGCTGTTAAAATGTTTTTTCCGGAGCCTTGTAGCGATGCCTGTCCAACTTGGCAAAACAACCTAAAGAGAAACTTGCGCTTACCTGGCGCCAGACTTGGGTTCAAAACAGGCATTGCAAAGGCAAAACACTTCACTAAATCCAACCAAACCTTCTATGTGTATACATTCTCCTTCTACCATACCTCTTGAAATTTTTATTCCCGTAAAGCTTCTTTCTGGCTCAAAAGGGCCGTTTTGGGAATCAAATTCCTATGTGTATACACTCTCCTTCTACCATACCTCTTGAAATTTGATTCCCGTAAAGCTTCTTTCTGGCTCAAAAGTGCCGTTTTGGGAATCAAACCTTCTATGTGTTTACACTCTCCTTCTACCATACCTTTTGAATTTTTGATTCCCGTAAAGCTGCTTTTTGGCTCGAAATGGCCGTTTTGGGAATCAAATTTCCTATGTGTATACACTCTCCTTCTACCAAACTACCTCTTGAAATTTGATTCCCGTAAAGCTTCTTTCTGGCTCAAAAGGGCTGTTTTGGGAATCAAAATTTCTATGTGTATAATTGTGTATACACTATCCTTCAACCATACCTCTTGAAATTTGATTCCCGTAAAGCTGCTTTCTGGCTCGAAATGGCCGTTTTGGGATCAAATTTCCTCTGTGTATACATTCTCCTTCTACCATACCTCTTGAAATTTGATTCCCGTAAAGCTGCTTTCTGGCTCGAAATGGCCGTTTTGGGAATCAAATTTCCTCTGTGTATACATTCTCCTTCTACCATACCTCTTGAAATTTGATTCCCGTAAAGCTGCTTTCTGGCTCGAAATTGCCGTTTTGGGAATCAAATTTCCTCTGTGTATACATTCTCCTTCTACCATACCTCTTGAAATTTGATTCCCGTAAAGCTGCTTTCTGGCTCGAAATGGCCGTTTTGGGAATCAAATTTCCTATGTGTATACATTCTCCTTCCACCATACCTTTTGAAATTTGATTCCCGTAAAGCTGCTTTCTGGCTCGAAATGGCCGTTTTGGGAATCAAATTTCCTATGTGTA